GTGTCGAGGATTAGATGACAATAACATCAACATGCAGCAATTCTGAACTTCAGCATATCTGATTATGACTGGTATTTCTTAAAGGGAACTTATTGCACTTAATTAATTTGGGTATGTCAAAATATTACTCAGACATTAGTCAAAGTATTTAGTATTTAAAAGTTACATTTTTTTTAAACAAAACATTTTTGGAATTAAGAGACAGTGGGTTACTTTCATTCATTCAAATACGTTTCATAAGTTCACAAAAGTATCTATAAGTTATATAAATTATATATAAGTATAATATAAATTTTACAGCGGAAATTTGTACTCAAGTAAAGTACAAACTCCACAAAACTAAGCCTAAATATAGCAATCAAGTACAATTATTAACTACTTACAGCTGCGTTGTTGTACACAAGGTGAACCATGAAGTCACGCAACATTACTTAAAATGCGCTAAAATATATAGATAAAAAAATATAGCTTCATTGAAGAATATGGGAAGTGAAATGTTTTTTTTTATTATTATTAAAGCTCAAAAACAGTATACAAACAGTAATACAAATATCAACAAATAAAAATAATAGACAATGACAACAAAATAAAAAATTGTTTAGACGTGATGTTTTGGTTTTAACCATAGACTGTAGGTTTTAACCACTAGTCTTTGCCTGAAAGAAGAGTCAGGTTCAAAAATGAAAACACTGCCATCTCCTGGTTATCCTTGAAGGAAAACGACCCCCTCTCTGCTGTTTACAAGAAACGGCGTAAAAATTCTGTTTTTCCTATTATGACAAAAGTGCGCCAGTCTCGCGAAATAATTCGTTTTTAAGTAATAGGTGAACGATTGAACGAGTTCCGTGTCACAAGAGGTCGGGTTTGATTCGTTTTCCTGACTCGTGATTCAGCTCTTCAATCATTTGATCACGCCTGAGACGCAAGCCGATCGTCCACAGAAAGCGGAGCGTTTTCCTCGTCGGATTTCCTCAGTAAGATTTTGCTATTAAAATACGAGGTATGTTATTGTAGTGCATCTCAACTGTGTTAGGAAACCTTTTAGTGTAAATGTGGTGATTTATTTGTAGAATAAAACTGTTTTCCTTTATAAAACGACGACGTCGACTGAGATCGGAGTAAACCATACACGGGGCGAAGCAGCAGAGCCAGAGGCCTGCATGTATCGGGTTGATTTCATGACCGATCTGCCCATCAGATCACTCCTATTGCGTGTTTCGTGTATTTAAACATTGCTTTCGTTTTGTATGAGGTACACTGGCCAAAAACATAACGTTAGCACCCCATACAGACTATAACGTTTCCATTAAAATGATCGACGCTCGATCTGGCGATATATGCGGTTTCGTAATGGAAGCGTTATAGATTGGTGTTTGGGTATAAAGCCTCATGATCGATTGGTCAACTGTTGTTCAGTCATGACAAACATGTTTTTTTTTTAAGTTGTATACACGATATTGCATGATTTATGCCCTTCATTTGCAGTACACGTGCTTTAATTTTGTCAAGAGGGGAACTGAAGCAGATGTTTGGGTTAAAATATAATCTCGTGTTTTTGTGTCGTTCTTCTTAACGACCGGAAGATAACGTTATCTCCGTTTAGTGTCCGGTGGTTGACATTTAATACAGGCTTAGGCCTGCTATCAGAATTGGCTGCTGTGTGAGGCGGTCTATTGCTGTTCAGTGGACATGTTTTGTTCAGTCACTGGATGGCGGCCTCACGTCTGAGTTTCGTTTTCCAGTAAATGTTCCCATTAAAACACTTCCTGCGGGATAATGACAGAAAGTGTAATCCAAAACCCAGTGGTTTCAGATGGATGTTTGATGATGCAATTTTGCATACGTTCTATAAAATTCTGATATATCTGTTAAATTCAAATATGCTATATTTAAATTTTGTATATGCATGTTTTGAATTAATCAGTTAAAGGAATTCTAAAGTCAAAATCAAAATTGACCTCATTTGCTTAACCCTCTACATTGCGAGTAAATCACTCGCATATGCGATTAAATCTTCACTCTGGGCGACTTAATGATGTCTAATATTAGCCAGTGGCTAATAAATTCTCAGATTTTACTCGCCAGTGTGTAAGTTGGAGGCTAAGTATAAGTTTAGCACAGATATATTTTCACTCGCCGAACACTGACTGAGCGCTTTCACTCTCCCATCAAGCGATCTGTGCTGTTTTTCAGTTCATCTGAATGGATGTGCAACGCACCAGTGTTGCCAACTGCTTTCAATCGAAAGTAGCTAAAACTGGTAGCTAAATGTCACTACATAACATCATAATGGCAAATTCACTGATCTATATAAAGGTGAACGTAGATCAGTGGGCAAGATGAGAACTTGGATAAGGTTTGTCCAAGAAGTTGCTATATTTGTCCCTAAACTTTTGAAAAAAGTCACAAAGGGGGCGGGGAAGTCGCTAAATCTAGCTACAAAGTAGCTAAATTGGCAACACTGCAACGCACCTGTATTTGACGTACCGTAAACTCTAGTGTGAAGGCGCATGACTTGCCGTCGCTTTGTTTCACACACACGCAGAGAGAGAGAGAGAATTGACGCGCTACATGTAAACGATATTCTTTGTTGTATTTTCCTGTCAAAATAACAGTGTTCCTTTGGAATTCTAAAGCTTTAAAGAACTGGCGCTTTCTCCGGTAGTGGGTGGAACTAATGCGCAACCGGCAATCTCATTGGCTGGCGCTCTGCTATTATCGTCCCTGTTTTGATTTCAGCAAATCAGTTCGAGCAAACCCACACAACTTGATTAATATTCATGAATCCAGCAGCTTATTAATCCTTAGTGCGTTTTATATTGTTCTTATTAGTAGAATTGGTATCATTATTATCTTTTCAGTATTTTTGTTCGTTTTTTCCGCAATTTTTTTTTACAGAAACACTGAATGACCAAAAAAGCACCACCACCAGTCCGAAGTTCAGTTAAAATGACTAATATGCATTCAAACATGGTTATCAAGTTTTAATTCTAATTACTAAAGTTCTATCATTAAATAATATTGATTATCATATTATAATGCTTGACTGACTGATGTTAAGAGTGTACTTTCAGATATTTATAAAACTGTGCCATTTCACAAACAAATATATATTTGTATATACAAATATAAAGCAAGCCATAGGAAGGCCCAGTGTCAGCCATGAATGAGCCAAATAAAGCAGAACTGGCCCAAATCTGGGCCACATTGATTTTAATTC